AGCAGGGCTCACTCACGGCCATATGCAAAGCAGAACTCTTTCTGGGAGACGGCCGTAACGTGTTTCTTTACAGCTCTGAGTTAGACCTGGGGAGGACATGTCACTCATCTATGCAACCGGCGGCGCCCTGTGAAAGCGGAGGTGGGAATTGTGTGCTGGGCATGAGGAATGGATGAAGGGGGCCTGAAAGAAATAGGGAGGGTGTTAAAACGTGGAGGGAAGGCATTTTCCCATTTGGTGCAGATCTGCCACGGACCATGAGGCAGCCCGCACTGCCCAGGCTTGTCATGGGGAGAGTTACCACCCCTGGCCCGCGTGCAGCTGTGGGCAGCCTCCAGTAGTGACTTTCAGGGGGGCTGGGGCTCCACTGGCTCAGCTGACCCCCCAAGCCTTAAAGGAGGGACCCTTAAAGGAGGGTCCAAAAGGCCGGGCGTGTGCCTCTTCTCCTTAAAACTCCAGTGACGCTGTGTGGGTGGGATCTGGCTATGCTTAGAATCCCTGTGAAATTCGCATTCCTTGTTCTGGGCCGTGTTGGGGTAGGGAAACCCCTCCGTCTTGCCCCCTTCTCCTGTGCCCCTTCCCACCACCACCATCCACCCCTGCCTGAGAGTTGAGTTCACCCTGAAAAGGACTGGGGGGGAGGGGGGGACCAGACTACCCTTCCGGCGGCCATGAGTGAGGGCTCTGTGGAAATAACAGGATCCATATGTTGAAGCTGGCTGCTAGTGCTCACCCAATGGGCCAGAGAACCTTTGAGGCAGGAAGAGGCCTCTCATTTGCCAAAAACAGCCCAAGTCAACTCCAGAAAGGACATTGCCTTAGGCGGTGGACAGTTGGGGGCCCAGCATCTAGGCTCGTCTTCCCAGGGAATGGAGACCATAGAGAGCCATAGTAAAGGCCCGGTTTGGCTCGAAACAGATGTCTGTGGCTTGTAAGCACCTGCCCTCCAGTGACACACGGTCTATGCTTTTCAAAAGATGGCGGGGCCTTCCAGCCCTGGGCTTGTCCCCTCTGTTACCTTTGGGTGGTACGCATGGTGCCAGGTGGTTTCTAAACCTTCTCCCTCCCTCTCAGAGGGGACATTACCTCATCGAGAGAGCACTTTACCTGGGAGCCGGGGGGCCTGGGCTCTTTGGCCACTTCGCCCCACCGAACAAGCAGAGGCTTTGGGGAAGCCTCTCCACTTCTGTTCTGGCCCCATTTCTGCGACCAGGAAATGCATTAGGACACGGCGGGGCAGCTGTTCCCGGGAATCTCAGAAGTGCTGCCGTCTATGGCAGGGCGGGAAGCTTTCTCAAGGAGGCAGAAGCATTTCAAGCAGAAAACCAGGTGCTGGGGCGTCCACCCCATCTCCTGCAGGCTCTCCCCTGGGGGAACACAGTGGGACCTGAGGTCTCTCTGTAAAAGAAGAGGGGGAAGTAGTCAGAGCCCATCACAGGTGCCTGTCTGTCACCATTTTATTGG